CTGATTCTTTGGTTCAAATAATCCAAATCGGTTCGCAAACCGCACTGAACGATTGATTCCTCCAGTCAACGACTCACTGATTCAAATGATCCGATCACAGCGAGTCTCCAGTGAACGACTCACTGATTCAAATAATCCAGTTCAATGATTCAAATGATTCAGTCAGAGCGAGTCTCCAGTCAACGACTCACTGATTCAAATGATCCGATCACAGCGAGTCTCCAGTCAACGACTCACTGATTCAAATAATCCAGTTCACTGATTCAAATGATCCGGTCAGAGCGAGTCTCCAGTGAACGACTCGCTGATTCAAATGATTCAGTTCACTGATTCAAATGATCCGGTCAGAGCGAGTCTCCACTGAACCACTCGCTGATTCAAATGATCCGGTCGAGTTAATGATTCACTGAATTCACTCAAAAAATTAAGCAATCCTCGGAGCTCGAGTGCGCGTGCGACTGATGGCGTGAAAAGTAAGTTCACAATCCCGAATTGTATGTTATTGTAAATGAAAATCATATTTAGGTCATGAGTGTCCATTGTTTGTGAACTAAAGCTGCTGCAGAAGGCTGTTTAAGCGACTGTATGAAATGCTTGAACATAGGCATGTCCATATTTGTGTATTAGCTTCTAGGTTTTATTTAAAAACTCAACATCTAAAGCATCTAGCCCGCTGCCACAGCACTTTCAAATGATCTAAAAGTAGTGTTTGCACAACGGTTTTAACACATTTTGCCCATTGTTTTTATATTAGGCCTATATATTTATATTTGGCAACACACATTTTGTTTTTCCTCATTTCTACTATATCAAATGTTTTATTTTCACTTGTTTGCACACTGTCTGTAGTAGGCTAATCATGTATTTTCAGCAGGAAGATAGAATATAATAAATGGCAAAATAGATGAACATTCATCAATCGGTACGTTTTACTTTTAATACTTAAGTACATTAATAAAACAAGTACTTTTACCCATTGAAAAGTGGAGTAGTATTTTATTACTCAAGTGCTGAACCCGTGCACCTCTGAATGTAGTGATGGGAGAACGAATCTTTTCGAAGCTTCGAATCAATTGAATCAACTGCTCCGCTAAATGATTCACTGAATCACTCAAAACGCCTGTTCAGGACCGGCCCTAGCATTTTAAGCAATATATTGTCACTTACCCCTTTCTTTTCTCTGAGTAACAACTACATGAATGTTCATCACATGCATATGTCATTTCATACTGACTTTAAGCAACAGACAGTCTAACTGAACTGGAATAAAGCGACAAATAAAGCAGCCCCACACGTTAAACACAGTATAATCTCTTTTTTATTACAAGAGGAGCTTGAACAGTTCTCCACCCGCTGCTGTTTGCACGTGGGTTTTTCCCAAAGGTCCCTGTAGATGAAAGCCGGTCTGGAGAAGTCTCAGTACAGTATTCTACAGAAAGTCTCCTTCAGAGAAGCACAAACATCAGCACAGAACATAGGGTCGGAAAACAAGAGAGCTGGCTTGCTCGTGACGGACAGACCAGACGTGTCTGGAGCATCTAATGCTGGTCGACTACACGAGCATCACACACACTCATAGAAAGATTCACTACAAAAACGCTCTGTACAAAAACTGCTTGTTCCTTGTTATAAATCTGTTGCATGACAAAGAAAGGCGCGTAGCCCGTGACGGACAGAATGGATGCTAGTAGAAAGGTTTCTAGAAAAGCTGAAGTTTATCTAAACGACAGAACTTTGGCTTGAGTCGTTGATCAGGACGAAGCATGGATTTTATTGCCGCCTTCAAGTCAAAAGTCATGTTAGAATGATTTGAATTGTTATGGGTTTAAAGGAATTCTTTTGTAAGCTTGCATTGATCATAATTATTGTGTTTGTTCACAGCATTTTGTTTTCTGCTAATGGAAGCGACATGGCTTTCTGTGACAAAATAAGATGCAGAACATTCGCTAAAAACGATTTCCCAGCGAACAAAAATATCTTCCTGTTAAGTTATGATGACGATATTGCTGAATGTTCAAAGCGTCCAGTTTTTCAAACGTGTTTTCTTGGTTACACCAATGTTAAGGGAACGTCTCATCGTTTTTAAACATGACGTTAAAGATACTTTTGGAACGTTCAAAGTAACAAAAAACATTGTGTATAAATAACGTTTTTGTGCTAATGTTTTGAGAACGTTATTAAAGAGCAGAGAACTTTCTTACTGGAAGAACGTTTGTTCATAGCTTTGCAAGCGTTTGTTTACAGTGGCAAGTTGGCATGGCAACTGTTTTATTTGATTACCATCGTGTTTTCAGACGCGTTCTGTATGAACGGACCCTTAAGGTTCTAGTTTGTGTAACAAACGTTCTCAGAACGTTGCAGGGAGGTTTTTGCTAAGATATAACTTGCCCATCGATGTAGTCATTAGATTTATACTGGTTACCGTCCAGTTATTTTTTGGGTGATTTTTTTGACTCTTTTTTTAATGGCTAAATTAAACTGTATTAGTCAAAAAGCATAAAATCACGAAACTGCGATTGCAGACATGCAATTTAACATGAATTTAGTTTAACAGAAATTACATTTTTAATCCTCATATTCTGTTTTTTGTTACCAAATTCTAATTATTTGAATGCGTAAAAACAACTTAATTAACATTTTATTTTTACAATCGCCCTATGAAAAGTGTTGTTGTTGTTTTTTTCAGAAATTGTGTATTTTAATTTTTTCTGGCTATCAAGTGAAGGAATAAAACATGAATTTAATTGATCTTTTAATCAAATGAAAGTTAAACTCTTTATTTTTTGGGGTTAAAAAAGGGGGTTTACTATTCAAATTAAAACATGGAAGAAATATTGTGTGATTATCCCTTAAAAAATGAAGTTTTAATAATGTTATTAAAACTGCACAACAGTAATAGGCCTGTATTTCCGTCACAATTTCAAGTTAAACCGAGCTTTTATTTTGACGGGTTGCCATGAGGACCTTTAAGTTTCTGTTTGTATACGATATAATGCTAGTTTTTCTCAAATTAAACGGTCAAATGCTCATGAAGTAAACAGTATTTTTGCAGTTTAATATTCATCAGGGCCCTATATTTAGGTTTTTGTTTAATAAACGAATACAGAACATTTTCTAATGGCTATTATTAGATTAGACTAATGTTCCCAGAATGTTCAGAAATTGTAAACCGAGACATGACTTCTTAATAAACGTAATTAGTTATACATCGTATTGAGAAGATGGGACGAAAAGCTCGTTAAAAGACGTTAAATCTAGTTTTTTTTCGCCTTAATTACAAATGCATTTTCATATCAGAGTTTGTAATGTGATTCATATGGAGCGGGTCGGTTTGGGTCACGACTTATGGACTCTTTATTGAAGAATATGGGGAAAGTGTGTTTATCAGGCGCTCGTGAAGGCAGCAATAAAGGCAGCATATGAGTAAAAGCGATGGGTTTAAAACACTGAGCTAGCTTCGCAGAGAAAACGGAGAAAAGCAAGGTAAAATGAGAACACAAGTGATTGCTGATCTGTGAGGGATGCGGTTCTGAATCGCTCACGAATCCGGGTTTCCACAGGAAACATCTTCGTGTCCGTCGTTTGGACGAGAGGCGTCAGGTCATGGTCTCTTTCCCCGGGAGCCTCCTGTCGTTAAAGGTATGCATGTTAATCACCTCCTCTGTTTTGACGATGGCTTGCGGGTGAGGGGGCTTCTGTTTCCGCCGCCGCTGGCACTTCAGAGACACCCTGAGCTCCTCCAGCATCGCGCTGCAGAACGAGCGCTGCGCACACAAGAGCAGATCACAGACACACTTTGAGTGAGTCTCAGTCGTGGTCAGTGTCGGGGGAAAGTTACTCTAAAGTCATGCCTTACAATACTGCGTTACGCCCTAAAAAAGTAACTAATTACTAGGGATGTATCGATTCACTCAACTTTTACAAAATTATAAATTAAATGTGTCTTTTTATTATCGCTTGGACAAAATGCTGCACGTTTCTTTGTGAAACTGAAATATAACACTATAATAATATACTAATATAGCACTTGCATATCATTGCTCTTTTGTTGGTTCTGATTGCTTCCGTTGTCCTCATTTGTAAGTCGCTTTGGATAAACTACATTTTAATCAAATGTAAATGTACATAACAAAACTAAATTAAAATGTTAAAACAAGCCCCAAATCATATACATAAGTAACACAAATAAAAGCAATCTCTTCACAGGCTTCGTCTGTGCTCTTAACATTTCAAATGAGAGGCAACCGCTGCATTTCAATCAGGATCCAAACAAAGATGCTGCATGCATGCAATCAAGTTACTTTTAAAAGTCATGCATTACAATGTTGCGCTACTCCCTAAAAAAATAACTAATTACGTTACTTAGTTACTTTTTATGGAAAGTAACGCAATGATTGCGTTACTTTTTAAATATGAGCAGGGCTTGGTTGTTTCTAATATAAGAAGTTCTGTTTCTAGCAAATATAAAAGCCCTTTCACATCAAAAAGTGTAATGAATAAAGCTCAGGCTGAAGGAAACGTAATTCAGGTCTGTACAGTAGAACGCAGGAGAAGAAACACTCGTCAGCAATAAAAAAACTAAGCACAATTGTTAGTTTCTCTAAAGTCATTTGTGCTTATTAGTACGCTTGAACTGGATCAGCAAAGCTCAGCAGCAAAGACAATGGGATTAGATACATTTGTGTTATTTAACACATTTAATTGTTGCAGGTTTGTGTCATATTCTGAGTTTGCGTTTCACTGTTTTAATTCATTTTGATGAATGCTAAATCAGTTTTTTGTGAGTGGGATGAATTAATGCACATTCATCACGTTTAGTCTAGAGCTACAGTAACATGTTCACACAGCGCGCACAGCTCCTCTGCACGGGAAACACAGTAACTTTAACTACTTATTTGAAAGAGTAACTCAGATATTCTCTTGTAAATCAAAAAGTAATGCATTACTTTACTAGTCACTTGAAAAAAGTAATCTGATTACAAAACTGGCGTTAACATAAACACGTCTGCTTACATCAGGCCATTTTTAAAGCCACATTTGTTATGAAGCTCAACTGTTCATAAAATAACTTATTATTCTTTAATATGTTAGGTTTAAAATCCAAATAGTCGAAAACTGGCGTTAACATAAACACGTCTGCTTACATTTTTAAAGCCACATTTGTTATGAAGCTCAACTGTTCATAAAATAACTTATTATTCTTTAATATGTTAGGTTTAAAATCCAAATAGTCGCTTTAGTGCTGTGAAAGCTGTTCTATGTGATGAATTCATTATTTTATTTTCAAAAAATAATGAATTACATTTTAGTAAATGACCCGTGTTATTTTAGTATAATTGGGTATTAATATTATTATTACTTTGAATTGGATTTTATATATATATATATTATATTTATTATTATTATTATAATTGGGGTTTAGTTTTATATTTTCCCTTTTCATTTTCATTTTAGTTCAATTTTTAGTTCATTTCATTGTGTGTTTTCATCTAATTTTTATTTCAGTCCAGTTAAATTGTAAAGCATTTCTCTAAAAACTCAGAGAAAACATTAACCTGTTAATATGAATTATATATAACTTTGAGTCCTCTTTTCAAGCAAGTAGTTGTCACATATAGATGAATCCTTATTAAAGCTACTGAAGTTATTCAGTCGAGAGCAATGAGTGATTTTTCTTGTTTGATTAGCATTAACGACAGACAGCAGCAGGTTTATTAGGCTGCTGTCACTTTAAGACCTAACATTCTACACTGTTTGTCTGATAAAGCTGTGAAAGAGCGACCTCTGGTGTTTGCGTCTGATACCTTCTCGATCTGCGCGTTCTGTTTGGATTTGTACAGCACCTCGCCGACGGCCACGAACACAGACAGCACCATTTTTAAAGCCACATTTGTTATGAAGCTCAACTGTTCATAAAATAACTTATTATTCTTTAATATGTTAGGTTTAAAATCCAAATAGTCGCTTTAGTGCTGTGAAAGCTGTTCTATGTGATGAATTCATTATTTTATTTTCAAAAAATAATGAATTACATTTTAGTAAATGACCCGTGTTATTTTAGTATAATTGGGTATTAATATTATTATTACTTTGAATTGGATTTTATATATATATATATTATATTTATTATTATTATTATAATTGGGGTTTAGTTTTATATTTTCCCTTTTCATTTTCATTTTAGTTCAATTTTTAGTTCATTTCATTGTGTGTTTTCATCTAATTTTTATTTCAGTCCAGTTAAATTGTAAAGCATTTCTCTAAAAACTCAGAGAAAACATTAACCTGTTAATATGAATTATATATAACTTTGAGTCCTCTTTTCAAGCAAGTAGTTGTCACATATAGATGAATCCTTATTAAAGCTACTGAAGTTATTCAGTCGAGAGCAATGAGTGATTTTTCTTGTTTGATTAGCATTAACGACAGACAGCAGCAGGTTTATTAGGCTGCTGTCACTTTAAGACCTAACATTCTACACTGTTTGTCTGATAAAGCTGTGAAAGAGCGACCTCTGGTGTTTGCGTCTGATACCTTCTCGATCTGCGCGTTCTGTTTGGATTTGTACAGCACCTCGCCGACGGCCACGAACACAGACAGCACCAGGCCGGCGGCGAGGACGATGAAGATGCCGCCGATGTTCTGCACGCCGAGAGCGCTGGCCTCCTTACTCTCCTCCTCCGGACAGCCGTTCCCCCTCCACCACTTCTCCTTCATCATGTGCAGCTTGCCCTCCTCCTGCAGCTGCAGGATGGCGATGGTGATCTTGTCCCGATACGGCGAGCCTGCGTCACAAATCACTCATTAATTATAAATCAGAGAGTTCCGGTGCTTGACTCTGATTGGCTGAGCTGCATTCTAAGCTGTTGTAAATGACGCTACAAAGTAACACACACCTTTGTTTACGTTTGTGTGTTGCTCGGCAACCACTTTGTAGCAACCACAACTGTTTCTGAGGAGCTACATTGTTTGGTGGAAGAATACTGTGTTTATTAATATCACTACACTTTATTTGCTCTGTTGGCAATAATAATTCTTTATAAAAAGACATTTGTGCTTTAAAAGTAGTGTTGAGAATGCTGTTCTAGCTGATGAACAATATTCATTAGTTATTTTATTTTTAGTGAATGATAACTTAAATTCATTGCGATACCTTATAGTTTTTATTAATACTTATTACTATACTACATAATTAGTTGTTAATCATTTTAGTTTTGCAATTTCATTTTTAGCAGTTTTGTATGACTCTATAGTTTAAGTACTTTTTATTTTTGTTTCTCTTTTCCGTTTTAAATATAGTTTGAGTTTCATTTTATGTTTTCATTATTTATTACAATTTTAAAAAATATTTTAAATTAGTTTGAATTTTTATTTTAATTCTAGGTAAAGGTAAAGGTTTTTAAAATATGACTATATACGATTTTATTTAATGCTTTTTTTTGTTTTTATTAATATTTTGATTGTTTTATTTTTATATTTCCCTAACTTAATTAGTTCATGTTTGTCATTTTATTGTGCTTTTGTCATTTTTAGTAGTTTATATAGTTTTTATACATTTTTAATTTCATGCTTTTTTAGATTGTATTAATATTTTGAATTAGTATTTATTTTTCTATGTTCTTTTTTCATATTTAATTTTAGTATGCATTTTCATTTTTAGTAGTTTATGTCTGTATAGTTTTTTTTTCAGTATTAGTTTTAGTTACTTTAGTACACTTAATAAAAAATTAGAAATGATTGCTTGGCAAGTAATATTTTATTTTATTTCACTTAATGTTTATTTTATCTAAATAATGATTTTTTAAAATTTAATTCAACTATAATAACCCTGTAAGTTACCCAATATTAATTATTAAAAGAACATGTATTTAAACATGTATTGAGCTAAACAAATGAATAAATAAGGGCCGCGTCTAAATGATTTGTGCTAATCAACACAAACGCTGCTGATGGAGCTTAAATCCTGAACATCTGTAATTGCACAAGCTGCATTCTTTGATAAAGCACTGACGTTATTCCAGGAATATGTGTTTAAACACGGAGGATTTGTGCAGATAAAGATGGATAAATATTCCCCTTGTATTCGCTCCTCCCCCGCAGAACTGCTCTGAGATATGAAGGTTTATATAAAGCGTGCAGATCCTCTGCTGTCGCCTTCAGAAGAGAAGAAGAGACTCGTGGGAAATGAAACTAGAACAGAAGGAGATCGTATATGTTCAGTCTAGTTTGTGTGCATCTTTGAAAATATACTAATATGTGACCTTCACTCTTAAGGGTCAATTTTTCGAAATTGAGATGTATATATCATCTGAAAGCTGAATAAATAGCTTTCCATTGATGTACGGTTTGTTAGGATCGGACAATATTTGAAAATCTGGAATCTGAGGGTGCAAAAAAATCTCAATATTGAGAAAATCATCTTTAAAGTTGTTCAAATGAAGTTCTTAGCAATGCATATTACTAATCAAACATTAAGTTTTGATATATTTACGGTAGGACATTTACAAAATTCAGAGCCAAAGAGTTTTACGATTCGAAGAATTACGATTCTTCAAAAATTCTCAGATTTTTCATAAAAATAAATAAATAAAATAAAAACAGTGGATGATGATTTAATAAATATTTTTACATGAATGAATAAAAATAATCATGTAAACCTGATGTTGTAGATTTTAGACTTCTGCCTTATGAATAATATAATAATTATTATTTTCCTCCTCTTTTTCAGGTAATAATTTATCCTGTCGCACCTGGCTCAAGTTAAAGGACTTGTTTTATCATTTAATTTAGATTTATTACACTTATATTTATTCACATCTAAATATTTTAATGTGTTCAGTATTTTAAATGGAAAATAGTTTAATAACTAATTGTAAATTTGTTAGCATAAGGATATTGTTTCTTGTTTTTATAATTGCTTTTGCAAGAAATACAACAATAATAATAACCTTTAGTGATAATACATCAAAAAATGAAAATCCTGTCATAAATTGAAAATGTAATTTGAGTATTAGATGAAAACATTATAGTGTTCAGAAGATACAGTGGGTACGGAAAGTATTCAGACCCCCTTAAATTTTTCACTCTTTGTTATATTGCAGCCATTTGCTAAAATCATTCAAGTTAATTTTTTTTCCTCATTAATGTACACACAGCACCCCATATTGACAGAAAAACACAGAATTGTTGACATTTTTGCAGATTTATTAAAAAAGAAAAACTGAAATAACACATGGTCCTAAGTATTCAGCAGCAAAGGGTCTGAATACTTAGGACCATGTGATATTTCAGTTTTTCTTTTTTAATAAATCTGCAAAAATGTCAACAATTCGGTGTTTTTCTGTCAATATGGGGTGCTGTGTGTACATTAATGAGGAAAAAAAATTAACTTGAATGATTTTAGCAAATGGCTGCAATATTACAAAGAGTGAAAAATTTAAGGGGGTCTGAATACTTTCCGTACCCACTGTATAATAACCAGGGTTATTATGATTAACTTAAACTAATACCACAATAAAACATTTTGTTATAACATTAACTGAACTAAAATATAAATCATGTTATTTCAGCTAGTCATTAAGTTGTTTTAAATAACTAAAACTGAAATTAAAAAGCAATGCAAACTTTATCAGCATATATCTATATATATATATAAAAATTACTAAAATGTGAAATAAGTAATTGAAAATATTCATAAAAATTATAATAGTATCTCCGTGATACTAAAATGTATCGCTGATAATCATCTACACTGAGCGTGTTACACAATAACAATCATCTGTCACTGCAGGTCACCATGGCGACAGGTTTATACTGATAGGATGCTGTAGATGCAGGTTGCCATGGCGACAGGTTTATACTGATAGGATGCTGATGCTGTAGATGCAGGTCGCCATGGCGACAGGTTTATACTGATAGGATGCTGATGCTGTAGATGCAGGTCGCCATGGCGACAGGTTTATACTGATAGGATGCTGATGCTGTAGATGCATTCTGAGCCTGCTCGCCTGAAGTTATGGTTGATTGCTCTTCGGCTGGATATCAACACACCCATTAACATAAACTACGCCAGGCCGCGTACACACCTCATGCACCGGATGCCGTGCGCGTGCACAAAGCAGTTGGACACAGTGGTGTACTAGAGGTAAAATATGATATAAATACTGTTGGGTTTCTGGCACAAACCGATCGTTTCGTGTGTTAGGACATCAATGTGTCGTCACGAGCCGCAGGGTTTAATTTGGATTTGTCTGTGCATGTTTTTTTTACTCTCATAGATTTTGTTACCATTGCCATGCATTATACGACTGACAGACTGCAACGGTTAAAGTTAAAAATCATCATATGTGTTCTACTGAAGAAACAAAGTCACCTACATCTTGGATGCCCTGGGTGAACTATCCCTTTAAGTGTCAATTTTTCGAAATTGAGATTTATAAATCATCTGAAAGCTGAATAAATAAGCTTTCCATTGATGTATGGTTTGTTAGGATAGGATAATATTTGGCTGAGATACAACTATTTGAAAATCTGGAATCTGAGGGTGCAAAAAAATCTAAATATTGAGAAAATCATCTTTAAAGTTGTTCAAATGAAGTTCTTAGCAATGCATATTACTAATCAAACATTAAGTTTTAGGTACGGAATTTACTAAATATCTTCATGGAACATGATCTTTACTTAATATCCTAATGATTTTTGGCATAAAAGAGAAATGTATAATTTTGAGCCATACAATGTATTGTTGGCTATTGCTACAAATATCCCCCAGCGACTCAACACTGCTTTTGTGCTGCAGGGACACAAGAAAATTTTAAATAGAAATGACTACTAATTTGTAAATTTGTTAGAATAAGTATATTGTTTTTTGTTTCAACATTGCTTTTGCATAATGTAAAATAATAATAACAACAAGAGCAGTCCAGAGAGGTTTATCTGAGCGAACGAATCCCCTCAATCAGAACCAAACCCCTTACATAAAACATTTACTTGAACCCCTGAGATTCATATTTCAATAATTCAACAACATGTTCACGCTTCTCTGACGTCGATTAACGGTCGCGTGACAAGCTGGTAAACACATAAAACATATGAAGAAAGTATTTTATTTTGATTGTTTTTATTTTCAAGTTATTTATATATAGGGCTTGACTTGCAAATTATTTTGTCATATATAGTGGGGCAAAAAAGTATTTAGTCAGCCACCAATTGTGCAAGTTCTCCCACTTAAAAAGATGAGAGAGGCCTGTAATTTTCATCATAGGTATACCTCAACTATGAGAGACAAAATGAGAAGAAAAAAAATCCAGAAAATCACATTGTAGGATTTTTAAAGAATTAATTGGTAAATTCCTCGGTAAAATAAGTATTTGGTCACCTACAAACAAGCAAGATTTCTGGCTCTCACAGACCTGTAACTTCTTCTTTAAGAGGCTCCTCTGTCCTCCACTCGTTACCTGTATTAATGGCATCTGTTTGAACTCGTTATCAGTATAAAAGACACCTGTCCACAACCTCAAACAGTCACACTCCAAACTCCACCATGGCCAAGACCAAAGAGCTGTCAAAGGACACCAGAAACAAAATTGTAGAGCTGCACCAGGCTGGGAAGACTAAATCTGCAATAGGTAAGCAGCTTGGTGTGAAGAAATCAACTGTGGGAGCAATTATTAGAAAATGGAAGACATACAAGACCACTGATAATCTCCCTCGATCTGGGGCTCCACGCAAGATCTCACCCCGTGGGGTCAAAATGATCACAAGAACTGTGAGCAAAAATCCCAGAACCACACGGAGGGACCTAGTGAATGACCTGCAGAGAGCTGGGACCAAAGTAACAAAGGCTACCATCAGTAACACACTGCGCCGCCAGGGACTCAAATCCTGCAGTGACAGACGTGTCCCCCTGCTTAAGCCAGTACATGTCCAGGCCCATCTGAAGTTTGCTAGAGAGCATTTGGATGACCTTGACATTTATTATATACACAACAAAAGATAAAGTAATCCTTATTAAAAAAGAAATGATCAAGAAAAAAGTGAATTCAAATATCACCACTGAGTGAGAAGTAGTGAATATACAAAAGAGGTGCAAAGTTTAGGATTTTTTTCTATCTTCATTTGGCCTCCTCACATACTCAACAGCCCTCATCAGCTGTTACCATGACAACATCTTAAACAGCAAATACATCAGCGGTTTAGTGCTGTAGGCTGATAGGGAACCCGGCCAATCATAAGCCCCAGAGCTTTCCAAATGATCTAAACTTTAAGAAAACACCATAAAACTAAACATTTCACGTGATATACACATCTGAACTGTACTGGATGATAATCACACCCATTGGCTGAATATATAGATGGTGACAGACGTTAAATTGCGGTTTGAAATGTTAATATATGTGAAAAACTGTATAAATGAGGCTTTTTGAGCCAATCATTAAGTCTGTATATACACACATATACAGTGTATATATATATATTTACACACACACACATATACTGTATGTAAAAGTAAAAGTAAAGGTAAAGGTTTGTTAAAAGCACTTAATTAATGACATTTTCCCATTTTCCGTGACCTAATCTAAAGTGAGAACAATTTATGCTTAATAAGTTAAGAAAGCATTATATAACTCTTTACATATAAGCTAATTAAACAAAAATAATTAAGTTAATTACAGTGACAATTAATGAAGAACTCACTATTTGTATAGAGTCTATTAATTAATAGACTCTATACAAATAGTGAGTTCTTCATTAATTATCTGTTTGAACTCGTTATCAGTATAAAAGACACCTGTCCACAGCCTCAAACAGTCACACTCCAAACTCCACCATGGCCAAGACCAAAGAGCTGTCAAAGGACACCAGAAACAAAATTGTAGACCTGCACCAGGCTGGGAAGACTGAATCTGCAATAGGTAAGCAGCTTGGTGTGAAGAAATCAACTGTGGGAGCAATTATTAGAAAATGGAAGACATACAAGACCCTACTGTGAAGCATGGGGGTGGAAGCATCATGCTTTGGGGCTGTTTTTCTGCAAAGGGACCAGGACGACTGATCCGTGTAAACGAACGAATGAATGGGGCCATGTATCGTGAGATTTTGAGTGAAAACCTCCTTCCATCAGCAAGGGCATTGAAGATGAAACGTGGCTGGGTCTTTCAGCATGACAATGATCCCAAACACACCGCCCGGGCAACGAAGGAGTGGCTTCGTAAGAAGCATTTCAAGGTCCTGGAGTGGCCTAGCCGGTCTCCAGATCTCAACCCCATAGAAAATCTTTGGAGCGAGTTGAAAATCCGTGTTGCCCAGCGACAGCCCCAAAACATTACTGCTCTAGAGGAGATCTGCATGGAGGAATGGGCCAAAATACCAGCAACAGTGTGTGAAAACCTTGTGAAGACTTACAGAAAACGTTTGACCTCTGTCATTGCCAACAAAGGGTATATAACAAAGTATTGAGATGAAATTTTGTAATTGACCAAATACTTATTTTCCACCATAATTTGCAAATAAATTCTTTAAAAATCCTACAATGTGATTTTCTGGATTTTTTTTCTCATTTTGTCTCTCATAGTTGAGGTATACCTATGATGAAAATTACAGGCCTCTCTCATCTTTTTAAGTGGGAGAACTTGCACAATTGGTGGCTGACTAAATACTTTTTTTCCCCACTGTATATTGCAATTTGAACTGTGATATGATAAACATTTCAAGTTTATATTGGACACAAACCTCTTTTGAGTTGTAATAGCGTCACTCCAGTGTTTTTAGGAACACAATCAAATTTAATAATAGTAATAATAATTTTTATAAATTCTGTCCCTGGTGCACACTGCATTCCCAAATACATGTTAAACTCACAGCACATGCAGAGACGAAGTTTGCATCATTTACTATGTCATAGTATGAATTTAAATGATTATGCACTTATTTATTTTAATATTATATTTGATTGAATTCATTATTAGCATAACTCGTGAACCCTCGTTTGGGAAAGCCTGCCCTAAATGATCATTTATCAGTAATTTGGCATCTCATGTCTCCTGCAGCTGTTGCATTGTGCGCTTTTCTTGAGTTCAGTTGTGCTGTGAGTGTGATCAGCAGCTGTGCTCCAGCAGGAGGCGCCCAGACGCTGACGGACTCACCTTGCCGCATGAGAGCGCCGACACCGAACCAGAAGCTGTTCAGCAGCGTGAAGTTATTCTCCAACACGTCTGAGTCTGGGTTACAGGGGTGAGGGTTATACCACTCGTACGGACTGAACCTGAGCACACAGAGAGAGCATAGACTGATGCATTTACTGCCACAGCGTGCACACACACACACACACACACACTCTCTCTCTCTCTCTCACTCACACACTCTCTCTCTCTCTCACTCACACTCACACACACACTCTCTCACTCACACATACACACTCTCTCTCTCACACACACACACACACACTCTCTCTCTCTCTCTCACTCACACACTCTCTCTCTCTCTCACTCACACTCACACACACACTCTCTCACTCACACATACACACTCTCTCTCTCACACACACACACACACTCACACACTCTCTCACACACACACAC